CGCTCTGCGGTGGGGCAGCCCCTGCGCCTCCCCGCCCCGGCGCTTTGGATTTTGGGGGTATTCCCGTGACACACAGCTGCCTCTTGCACGGAACCGAGGTGCCGGCCGTGTGCGCGCCCCTTCTCTGCCGCTACGGCGATGCAGGCAAAGGCGCACGCAGGAGCAAAGCCGTCCCGGCTCCAAGAGCAGGCAGCTTTCGGGTCTGAGCAACCAACAGCCTCACCTACAGTCCTGGAGACATCCACATTTTAACCGTGAGAGAACAGAGCGACGTTTCAAAAGCACCCAAAAAGCTATTTTCAGAAGTATGTTCCAGTTAAATGTTTACAAGCTTCTTTCTGTAATTGCACCATACAAATAATTTGGTTAAATTAAGCTTATCTGCACATAATTTCTGCCTGTAAGAAGGACAATGAAAAAGATATTTTTTTTGTCCGACAGCTGCAACCTACCAGAGCTTTAGACCGTTATAACTTTACCAGTCAAGTTACACTGCTATGATTTCCCCATGCAGATCAGGTATTATCAGCCAAGGAGTAAGAACAAGTCTCCTACACGCTGTTCTTGCTGCTGCTGCTTGTCACTTTGGAGCTGCTGCTGTGGAGTTGGTCCATAGCACAGTTATAGCAAATAAGAGAGCTGCCAAATGCTGACAGCATTTTACAATACAAAAAATCAGGAGTGGTCACTTAACCTGTTGTTTCCTTCAGGGAACACCTCCGAAGACTATTTAAGAATCCTACAGAATGTCCCGACCAAGACAGCCGCTGCGTACATGAGAGGTCAGTGGGGAGCCCAGTGGAGGGCAGGAGTTGGCAAAGAGAGATTGCAGAGCTGGCTAAAGAGCAGGCTGTTCATGTTATTCAAACTGGTTTTAGTGGCAAATAGCTTTTTGACCAAATGGGTGTTTTATAGGAAAAAAATCCTTAGCTTTCCTGAAATGTGGGTGTGTTTGGTAAACCCCCTTTCTGATCACATAAACTTTTTTTTTTAACTTGATAAGAAAAAATAAATAAAGAGATGCCTTCTGCACTCAAACACGGGAATATACAGCTCCAGTATTTCCCTTCAAATATTGCAGAGGGCCATTTTCACTGCATCTCCTTCTCTTGGGTTTCCCAAGGGCTGTGTAAGTCCTTGGAACTTTTTAATGCCCCACTTTCATGTCTGTACTCCCAGCCGTCTGGCCAGGGTCTTTTCTTGGAGCTTCCTGCAGGAAAACCACTGAACAGGTATCTCCATTTACCAGGAACTATACTGCTGCAAGTCACATAAGGCTGAATTCAGGTCACTACAGCTCAGCGGCTCATTTTAAAATTTGTTTGCTTTTCTTTCTAGTGTCCAATCCAGTAAACAGTTCAAAACTGAGCTTGTTCGAGAAGGGTATTTGTAAAGACATCCAGTGCAAGAGGGAAGAGCTGGTGATACAGAAACAAGGCATCTACTTGATCTATTGCCACTTGAACTTTCATTTTCCCAACTGTTCAAACAGCCCAACCGACCTCAAGATAGAGCTCCTTGTGAATGACAAAGTCAACAGGCAAACATTATCCACATGGTGCACATCGGAAACGTGCCAAGAAAAGACTTTTAAGACCTTGTTCTATCTACATTTGACATACCTGAATGTGAAGGACCGAATATCAGTAACACTTAATCATCCTAAATTCTTGAATGAAATTTCTCTTCCCAATGAAAACGTTCTTGGGGTCTTGAGGTACAGTGATGATATGTGAGCAGCTGTCTGACTTCCCACTGCTGCCCAGACTTACCTTTCTCTGAACAACAGTAGCCTGCTTTTACTAGGCAACACCTTGTTTTAAATTTCCTATCTTACCTCATCGCTAGGGTCAACAAGGAACTTTGTGAGTGTCCCAGAACAAAACCTGAAACACTGCAAGACCCACACCTGACAGATTCCTCTGGTTTGGCTCAGGGTAGGATTTTTGTTGGACTATCCATCATGTAACTCACAGATCTGCCAACGGTTCCTCAAAACAATACTGTGTAAACACAGATTAAAACGTAACCAGGTTATGGGAAGAATACGCAATATTGAGATTTTTTTGCTAATGGAATGCTGGCAAGGTGCCTGTGATCAGGAGATAGGGAAATCTTTTTTAACTGAATTTTATGAAGTAGTATTTTGACGTGGTCTTTCCAAAAAACTAACAGTGAAAGCTTGTAGTTAAGGCTTTCTTTACAGCTGGAGCATGCAACCAAAACTCTGGAGCAGATTTATGGATAGATTGTACAAAAGCAAAGATGATGAAATTATTGACTCTCAGGTTGTAGCTGAAACTTTGGGACAGGACATAGGAGATACAGGACTTACAGGGTATTTTCATGCTGCCTTCTGCTATGGACTTTATGCAATTTACTTCTAAATGTCTTTCTTTTCACTATTTATCCATCTTTTCTATTTAAATATTAAGCTCTTTGGGGCAGAGACTTTGTATATGCACAGTGCTCAGCCTCTGCCCTCACCTGGGGTTTCTAGACCTTTTCATAACAAATATGAAAATAGTAATCTAGTTGCAAATCTAGCCACATAACAAAGTGCATTACGATACATTTTCCTCAACCCTATCCTGCCTGTTTGGCAGTACCCTGCGTGACACCAGACCACACTGCTGTGCAAATACACGTCTAACACCTGCACTTTCTGGAAATCCAAGATTTAGATCTGAGGTCCAGACTTTCCCAAAGACAACTTCAGATCTGGCCCTCATCTGAGAGCTGTGGTGTTTGGGCAGTCCAGGGGATAGATGTTATTTGAGCTTCTTTGGCTTACTGAAAGCTTAGATAATGAAGGAAAAAAGAGTAATCTCAGGCCCTCTTATTCTATGAATTGCAGTAACACAGGCATTTATTTGAAAATTAATTCTTACAGTGTGGGGATGGAAGGCACCAAAAAGTTACAAAAGCTGGTACCAGTTCACTCGTTTGTCTTTTCCCTTCATCCCTGTGATCCAACTTAGGTCTATTTTCCCTGGTATTCGAGTTTTTTGCCTTACGTACCTGTACCTTCTTTCCTTTACATGACTAGAGCTTGGTGATCACATCAAAACATCTAGTCATAGATTTAGGTTCTGGCTTCAGAAACCCAGTGTTTTATTATTCAAGCTTAGTTGATGTTGTCAGCTGATGTAGCTTAGTTTGTGTGTGCACACTCAAAATATTCCTAACAGCAGAAATTTGTTACTTGCATTATGTCACCAGAAACTGATGGTACCTATTGGTGAGGTTTCAGCCCATTGACCAGATGACTTCAAAATACACAAGAAACTTTCAAAGGGTCATGAGCAATTGATATGATTCATTGCTAGAAATACCTACTTTCTGTTTCGATAAACGTTGATGAAAACAAAAATTCCTTTTGCTATTATTGGGTAAGAAAAAAAGAAAAAGAAAATTAGAAAACTGAATCCATGTTTTCGTTCTTTCTTTTCCCCTTAAAGAAAAGAAATCTGTTTTTATAACAGTCAGCTTAACCTGCCTATGACACTGTAACCCCCACTGGGCCCTCCTCACCCCTCTGGGCCCTACAAATCTCTCATGTCTCTGAATAGGGATTTTAACCTCTATCTGCCTCCACCGTGATACACGTGACTAATGCCCAGAGAAGTTTAAGCAAGCCTGGCAGTCAGGAATCATAGCTGCTGAATATAGAAAAGGCAGCGAATGAATGAAAATATGCATTTACTCTCACCACACACACACCCTCCACCACCTTTCCCTGAAGGCTTTGGATTGAAAGAGAAAGACTGTTCTTAAAAAAAATAAAAATAAAAATATCTCTACATAGGATGATTTTATTCTACTCTTTTGCCAGATAGAGAAAATCCTGACAAAGCAGTGCTAAGCTCCTCAGCGCCAGGCTTTTTAATACCACAGAATAAAGCAATCTGGCCTCTACTCCATTGCCTCTGAGAAATAAGAATAAATTATAGCCATAAAGAGACCCCATTAATAGTGTGCGATTTTGCCATCAGTTATAAAAATGTTAAATAGCTTTCATTGAAACAAGACACTGATCCAAGCAACAGCCTCCACGCTTTCTGGCAGACTCCAAGCCACTTCACTCTTTCATCCTTTTTCCTTCTCTTACTTCCTATTTTTTTTTAAGCAGGTAATTTTTGACAACAATCCTATACTAAAAAAAAAATGTCCAGGTTGATCCTTCACTGAATGCCACATCTTTTCAGCAACATCAACAGCAATGTGCTTTGGGGAACAACCCGTTCCCACGATTTCAGCTTCACTGCTTGCAGCAGACGAGCTTTTCTGCAGGAGGGTCCTCATGGTCCTCACCCTTCTGAGGAGCACATCAAGACCTATGGACCTTGCTCTGGTTCCCCACCACAGGGCTCAGCCCATGAGAAAGGGGGGACTACTGCAAGCACTGAAGTCACGGAGAAATTTTGAAAATTATTCCCCTTGTCCTCAGATGTGGCAAATGTGTGGCTTTCTGTGCGTATGCTCTATTGCTAACTTGACCAGAAACAGGAAGCATCAGCAATCTCACGAGCAAGTCTGCTCTCTTGAGGTTTCTTGGCCCTTCTCAGACACTGAAAAAGTCGCACTTTTAAGCTGTTTTCTGCTTGGCTAAAGAGCATCTATGGGAGATTATATATGCCATTGATAGGAAAAAATGTGTATTATTGGCTTAATTCTGGCTGTTGTTAATTGCTATAGAAAAAAATCAATTTAACAGGGACTTAAATTAGAAGTGAAGTCAATGCAAGACACTTCCATCCAAGCTCACCCGGGGGCAGAAAACCAAAATCAGATCAAATTTAATATCAGAGATTACAGAGTTGGATCTGAGCTTCACCAAAGCTGTGAAGACTTTGAAACCAGGATTGCAATTAGACTTCACAAGGCCTGATAACACCTCCCGTGAAATTGGCCTGAACCCAAACTCCTTAGAGCTCAGATCTGAAAATTAGGTCATGGCTTATCTGGCACAGATTTGCTATTTAGGCTACGCAAGCGTTTACTGAGGGCCTTGGGAATTCTGCATTTACTTCACTTCTGGTTTTGTTTCATTTTATTTTGGTCAGCACTTCCCACAGGGAAGAAATACCATAGTCACTTACAGAGAAATCCTTTACTGCGCCATGAGCCAAACCAGAGGCTGTTTGTGCTAAAAAAAGCACAGCTGTCCTGAAGATCCCACTTGGATCAATAGTGCACTGACGTTCTTCTGCAAGGTAACTATCTGACTATGTACTCCTCTTACACACTCAGATGCCTTTGGAGAGCAAACAGCACTCTGCAAAATCCTTGGCCACTTCCTTGTGCTCTTAAATTATTGTTCTTCATAATGTTATTAGATACAAAAATTACAAGCACCTCTATTATTTTTTTTTTCAAGCACCTTATCCTGAAGTTAAAGTAAGAAATGGACTACTCAACAAAAATAAGCAACCAAAAACCAAAATAAATAAGAAGCCTTTGCTTTTTGGGGCCTCTAACTAGGCCTTACTCACAGGTCTTTAAAAACTGGAAGTGATACAACTTGTGTTTGGTGCAAATAGCAAGGGAAAACCTCAAAGCAAAGGCAGCTTATGTAGGAGGAATAACTGTAAAAATGCAAATTCTGATGAGCAACAGTTGTGACAGCAGGAGTTGCACTCAGTAACCTCAAAACCTCTTCCAGCCTTAGCTTTTCATGGTTATAATAGGCTCAATTTCAAAAAAGGACAATGGACTGCAAGGATAGAGAGTCATGGAAAAATGTTTTGGAAGAGCACATTCTGCAGCTGTGCCTTCCCCACATTCCACCACCCCCACCCCCCCCGCCGCCCCAAGGAGCTGAGCTGAAGTGGTTTAAATTCCCAATTTCTCTTTTCAGTACTGATCCCAGGAGCTTGAAGATTTGGGGTGGAGGAGGGTAGAGACCAAAGAAGTACAGCACAGCACATTCTAAAATTCAGGTGCTTCCAAGGAGCGTGAAGGTGGTGAGCTCCCAGAGCCCGACATTTGCATCAGGGCCCAGCCTTCAACCCCTTCACGCTCAGCATCCCCTCTGGGCTGCGCAGGGCTTGCTGCGGGCAGCAGCCACCCTCCTCTGTTGTAAGACAAGGATGTTGTACACCATGGGTAAAGTCATCAGTTTGTCCTGAGATGCCATATCCTGCAGTATTGGTACACCATTTCCCTTCAGCCATGTCCACAGCATCTAAATTTAGATCTCTATTTCCCTCTATAGCCGGAGTGAAGCAAGAACCTCCAGGAGGTGAGTCAGAGCACCCAAAATAGCTGCCTAGATAAGACATTGTCAACTGCTGAGTGAGTCTTTACTCAGTCCGGTCACTGGGTCCTCCATCTCAACAGTTTCATTTGATTCAAAATAAATAAAAGATTATTTAATCTGTGGATTTACAATTTATGGACACTCTCTACTGATAATTTATGGTCACTTTCTACAGCTTCCCACAGAGCGTTGCCTGTGCCTTGAGGCTGTGTGAGGCTCCTGGGAAGCCCATGTCTCTTCAGCAGAATATGTTTGTAGGTAAAACACAAATGCCAACTGAGCAAGTTGTTAGATTTATGGAAACAAAAGAATAAGATTTGCCTGCTTAGGTCATTTTCATTCCCACCAGCACCTATTGCTGGGACTTGTCCAGAACTGATAGAGGGAGAGCAGCATTTTGGAATTAGGCACCAATTCAGTACTTAGGTTTTCAAATTACTCTTTTCTCATCTAAAACTGTTTAGTAAATATTTG